TCAGAGAAGTTACAGCATTTTCCCAAAAAAGAACGACCGGGTCATTATTTTTTTCACGTAAAAATTATTTCCACGTGACGCGTTTCCGCGGGGGTATATAAGCCGTGGAACTTCTGAATTGAGTCAGTTGGCGGTGTGAGCCGGTGAGCTCCACTCCTCTCTCTCTGGAGGTTCTCCAGGGAGGAGGAAAAAGCTCATCGGCTCGCAAGCCACGGATGAGACCTGGAAGTCCTGGTCTCATCTGTAACGCACCGAGAGGTTGCATTCCAATCACAACCGCTCAGAACGGTTGCATTCCATCAAAAACCGCACAGAACGGTTGCATTCCAACCCCAACCGCTCAAAACGGTTGCATTCCATCCTATATTTTGTTATACATAACAGCGTCGAACAGTCTGGCAACAGACCTAATATGCAAAAAACTGAAAGTTATGAAGACGACCTGAGAAGTAAGAAATGTGATGTAGGAAAAAATTTTTTATTCTGAATTGTCAAACAAAAAACTTCGAAAGCTTCTCTAGCAGCATGGAAGAGACAGCTCTTGGATGAACTGGAGCCTGAAATAGATAAGTTGAGCCGGTAATTGTTAAAAACTTTACGATTGCAGGATGTAGTTCCATAAACTCTGTTCCAATCTGATAACGTCGAATACATGTCTCTCTACGCAGGTGAGCAATGAGAATGGCTCATTATCCTTAATATTAAAATTATGATCACAGATAAGAGACAGCTAATTACTTCGATATCTCTCAAATTTATACCAGTCCGTTGGAGGTCGTACACAAAGAAAGGCTCTTCAGGACTATATACGACGTGATTCAAGAGAAGAACTACATCTCTCGAGAACGCTCGCACGGCACATCTGATTGGCAATGTATCATATTAACATTTGCCAAGTTTACCTCGTTGCTGAATCAGAAGCGATAGAATACAAGACTAATCTTATAGTTCTTGTTTCTATGGTATCCAATTTACAAAATGCTCGATCCACGTATTCCGTTGATTTCTCATTAATCAATCGTTTAGTTAAATCTCAAAGAAACGAAAACGAAATAAGTTGGGAAAGTAAAGTTACTTTTGTATTTATCTTCCATGAAACGGGCGGAGTTGACATCGCTGGTTTTGTAACGATTCATCGAAGTAGGGAAGTCTTCTCTTTTTTTCCTGATGAAGGAAGTTTTGAGAATGAAAATTTGATTGAAACGAAACTCTTTCCAATTCTTACTAGTGTTGGAGGTTGTGCTTTGCACTGCCCAATTCTCACTTCTTTCTGATGGGTCAGATCTCTCGGTTCTTAAAGGTGAAGCGCTTTCTGAGGACTGCGTTTGATGTCTAAAACTCTGTCCTACAGTACTTTAAGTAATTCTCACGATTCGATTGATGAGTTGAGGTGATCTGATAATCTTTCTGAGGTCTGTTTCACAGTAGAAGTCATTTCATGACCTGAACGCTATGTCAGTGGCATTGAGAAGAATACTTCATACCTGTTCTAGTTGTCTGCAACTCCGCACAGCTTAAAACAAAAGAATAAAGTAAATGATAACTAACATACCTTCCTCTGAGTTCAGATTGTGCTTTATCTAGAAGCCTCTTCTCGTTTTCTATCTAGCAAGAGACGAGAACTTCAGATTGGAAAAGAAAGAATCCCAACCTGATGTTTGGTGGTGTTCTGATAACCCTTTCTTATAACACAAGAAATCGCCCTGAGCTGGTTGTTCAAACGATCAAGCTGGAAAAGGCTTTTAAGCACAGTTCTGTTAGTTGACATACATTATTCTCGTCAACTGCTTCATTGAACGTAGAAGGACTTTTCAAGAAGGATGACTCGTCTCGGAAACTCAAATCTTCGTTTTCATCATCTGAAACGTGGGGAGAAGTAAGAAAAAGTTGAGAGACTACAATACATGTTATATCAGTTTCCGGTTCCCGGTTAGTCGGTGTTACTGTGTTACAGCTCGGATCTGTTTTTTTCTCCGCAGTTTTCTGAAAAGCAATGTTGAGATCTTTATGGTCTACCATCATCGAAATACCTTACTAAGAAGCTGATTCACACTTTTTTCCGAGGGCTTGGAGAATAAAAGAGATTTCATACTGCGTGAAACCGAGCGAGAACTCTCGAGAGCTGCACTTTCGTCTTTCGCATCGGAATTGTTTTTACATGGAGGCCAAAAGTTGTTCAAGCTAGGTGATACGCTGGGTTCTTTGCTTAATCCGGCAAGCGATGAACCAGCAGGAGAAATGGGAGGAAGGACCATAGTAGGTTCCGGAACATTTGGTACACGGTTCTGATGAAGTTCTTCTGCGATAGGAACACTTGGTATCCCCACAGATGGAACTGAGGTTTCTCTGTACGGAATGTTGTTGCTCGAATTTACGGGAACGTGACTCATTTCATTCGGGTAAGGATCTGTAATATCGACTTGAAGAGATGATTACTTTACCCAGAACCTTCATGGGTATACCAGTCCAAACGATCGTCGTCGATATCCCACAATTTCTGCTAGAACAAAAATAATTACTTGCAGCAGGAATGTAAAACGAACGTTTCTAAAGAAAGAAGAACCATCTATCTCGTTACATGATGACTCGTTACCAGTGGAATCCTCGAAAGGATCTTCAGAACCTCTGTTTTCTATCAAACTTTCCTTCAACAATGCCAATGAACAAAGAAACAGATGTCTGTATGTAACTCACAAAAACTTCAGTGAATTCTTCCTCGTCAGTCAAAAACGCAGACAAATACACGATTTTTTTGGTTTTGGTTAAAACCTTGAAATATGCGATACTCCATTCCGACCCAGACTGAAATCTGGAAATTACTAGCAGACACACATCGGCTATGTACGTCTTTCGGCTTTTCCTT